TATAAATGAATTGTTTTACTCTACCGCTTGAGCGAACCGGATATTTCAATACTTGCGTGTAGAAGAATATATGAGAAGAGTGTGAAATAGGAATAAATGTATGAGAATCCAAAAGATAACATTTTTCTTTGTAGCCACATACCTTTTTAATAAACTGTTTTACTCGAAAATTAAGTGCTCCATTTTACTTTACTCTTTGTTAAATCACGAAGAACAGGTGAGTGGTAGACCGACTCGATTTACCTCGGCAGACCGCGAGTTTCATCGCGAAACGTATGGCCATTAATGCACGTGGCGTTGCCGGAGAACGAGGGGATTGGCCCGTTTCGTTTTCCCCTACGCAAGCTCGGCGCGATCCTCTTGTGGGAACCGTCTAACTGGATCCAGTCCGCGCTCGACAACGCGCCCCTCGTCTAGCCTGTCGTGACCTTTCGCTCCGGAATTCGTGATACCTTGAACGAAACGTCGATCCAGCTTCTCTTCGATTGAAAATATCGTTTAGTCGATTTTAGACACAGTAGTGCTAATGAAACGTTACCATTGTTAGTGCGATACACCGATCATCGGTGAACATAAACCGTCTCTATCGACCATTCTTTTCAATAGAAGCAAATATTTAATTCCCCGACTATTGGACATTATTATTTTAATTCTCTATTTGGTGGTCGTTTAAGCCGTTGTCGAAGGCACTGGTAAAGTAAAATTTGTTTGTTAACGCAACGACGGCCATGTTTTCCTTTGGTTGAGCGACGGGACTGTTTGTTCAAATTTAGAAATGAATTTTCGCGATATGTTCAGAGTAAGTTTTATTTCTTTAGAAAAAACTAGTCCGATTTTATGAAATTTCTTAGGACACCGAGACGACGGTCGGAGTTGAATGAAAGTAAAATGATTTTATTCAGTGATAATCTGTAAGTGTAAAGTGTGACTGATGAGGGGGGAAAAAGTCGTGAGAGTGGCCAACGTGACAATTTTTTGTTTAGATATTTCGTTTCGAGTATTCTGACTCCGACTGAACGTCACGTAGCATCGTTGATCCCATTCAGATCGGAATTCGCTATAGTTGTTTGCTTTTATCAGTTGAATAGAATGCAACAGTGGAAACTTCTCGATTGAATGAACTATCAAAATTAACTTCGAATGAAAGAAATTATAGTCATTAATGTTTTTTAATCAGATTATTGAACCGTTTATTTCCTTCACTTGCAACATTTCCATAAAGGTGACGTTCTATCAAATACAAATCTTCGAGATACGATATTAGAAATCTCTTTAATTTATCTACAATCCACTAAAAGCTATTCACAAATAATTATCTACTTATAATAACCAATCAAGTTTTCTTCAAATTATTTTTATTACGATGTTCCAAATCGGTTCAATTTTTCATAAAAATCGTTAGACTATCAACATCTATCTTTTACGATAAAATTTTATGTTTACGGAGACCACTCGTGAATGAGTAACAAATCTTTCCTTCTTAAATGAAATTGTACATATTTCAAAGGAGCATAGAAAATGTTCCACAAAACAACATTTGAGCCGTTTATTTTGAAAGTGGCATAAGTCACTTTACCGTAATGAAAAGTGGTGATTTTTTAATGTTTATACGAAATTATTTATACTGAGAAAAATATCAGTCTCCTGAGATAACAAATACAAGTAAATCTTCTCGAAAGTTAGCATCCATATTTTTAAACGTGTTAAAACGGAAACCCTTAAATATATCGACTTAAAAACAAAGTGACTTATACCACTTTCAAAATA